GGATGACAAGTTAGTCCAGAGCTTATGGGCTCGGATGAAAGGGCAGACTAATAAGGATGACATTGCTGTGGGTGTTTGCTCCCAGCCACGTGAGCGGGAGGAGGAACTGGATGAGGCTTTACAGAGCTTGAAGCAACCTCAAAGTCACAGGCCTTGGTTCTTGTGGGGGACTCCAACTACCTGGATATCAGCTGGAGAAGCTACACAGCAAAGCACAAACAGTCCAGGAGGTCCCTGGAAAGCGTTGGTGACAGCTTTGTCACAGGGAGTTGAGGATCCCTCAAGGAATGGTGTGCTGCTCAACCTCATGCTCACACACAGGGAAGGGCTTGTGGGAGATGTGGTGGTTGGGGGCAGCCTTGGCTGCAGTGACCATGAGATTGTGGAGTTCAGTATTGGGAGAGGAGGAAGCAGGGCAGCAAGATGGTAACCATTTTGGGAGAGCCAACTTTAGCCTCTTCAGGGATCTTCATATAGCAATCCCATGGGAACAAACCCTTCAGGGAAGAGTGGCCAAAGAGAGCTGGTTGATATTCAAGAATCACTTCCCCCAGGATCAAGAATGATGCATCCCAGTGAGCAAGAAATTGGGAAAAAGAGGCAAGAGATCTGTGTGAATGAACGAGGAACTCTGATATTACTCAAGCGTGAGCAGGAAATACACAGGAGATGGAAGCAGGATCAGAACAAAAGAGGGACAGGAGTGGTTCAACCAGGTTCTTCGATTCTTTAATTTCCCTTCTCTTATTGTGGCAAAGAAAAGATACATGAATTGTCCCCCAGTGTCCCAAATTCCCTTGGGGTCTTGTGAAATCCTCCCAGTGCTTGGCATGTGTTAAACTGCCAATGATATAGCAGAGTGAGTGGGATCACTTTGCAAGGTTAAGTTAACTTGCTCAGGAACGAGGAGGGCAAACAGGGAGCTGGGGAGCCACAGATCTGCAAATGATTTTAGATTTTCCTTCTTTGGACACTAAAGTAAATTCCAATGTAGCTTTTTGAAGAGAGAAGTAGGTGGGCATCTGAGAGATTATTTCTGTTTGTGGGTTGATGGTGGAATTATTTGCTGGGCGTGTTTTTCCTTTCAGACATCCTTTTGGAAGCAAGGTATGTCATTTTGGAAGCATTTGGTGAAGGACAGGAACACCCCCCCCAACCCCCCAAACAAAGAAGCATTACTTAAATGAACTAATCCACTAGGTTTGTAGCCCAAAGCTGTGAACTAGACTCGTGTGTGCTGCATGCAGGGGAGTATCTCACTTGGGAACTTGGCACTTGTGTGCTGTCAATAGGTGGGGAAATAACCACCCAGCTGTTCCTTTCTCCTTATCTCTTTACAACATGTTCTCCCCTCTGGGCCTCTCAAAGAGGGAAGAGTCAGACCAACAAAGCTGGAACCTCTCCCATTTCTTGATATCTTATTAAAGTCCCCTGTGCCTTACTCTTGATTTTTGTATTCCTGTGTTTACAGAAATAATGATGCAAATATCCACTGTGAGAGGCAGGCGTTTACTAATTTTAGCAAAGTTTATGTGATCAGGTTATGGTTTAACAACTTATTTCAGGAGCAGCAAAAAACAGCTGATTTCTAATGTATCTCTTCAAGTGGATTTTGAGTTGTAACAAAGGTGTTTGTCAGCTTTCCCTTTCAGAAGGTGGTGGTGGGATCCCTTTCTTATTTAGCCAACTAATAGGACACAAATCCTGTACAGACTCTTTACATATTTGAAAGCTTTGGCCCTACACAAAATACATTTTAAGGCAGGCACTATCTCAGAAGTTGAGGTGTGTGTGGGAGCAGATAGTGGGAGTGATGGAGCACATGTACAAAACACTGCATATTGTGTTTCCTCGTGGAAAAAAATGCTAAAATCTCCACTTGGAGAACATTTGTCTGGGTTTGACTGTTTTTGAAGGACCAGGTGGCTTTCTGGGCATCACAAGCTTCGAGTAAAGAAGGCACAGATCTGCCTGAAGAGGAACAAAAGGGAAATAAATAAGAACATGATGTCCTACACTTTGTAGTACCTGGGTGATGGTGAGGCCTTCCCAGTGTGGAAGGACCATTGCTCCATGTAATTCTGCAGAAGTGGGGCCTGGTTTCTCCCACGCCTTCCCACTCTTTCTGGCTGTGGGCCAGGACATAACCTGGCCCCAAAGCCACACTGGGTTAACAGGGCAGGAGGCTGTGCCCAAATGACCTCAAGCTCTGCCTTGCAACAGGTCAGCTCCACACTTTAAAGATGGTATGTGCTTATTTAGAACATTTAAGTGTCACTGAGTGCAAGCGATGATAACATATCTGTAAAACATCAACTAAAATAGTACCAAATAAATGTACTTTAAGGAATGCTCTCTGTGTTCCCATATCTCCTTAGATCTGCATGTGACCCCTGCTCTGCAGCTTTTACTGCCCCAGAAAGCTGCCCAGTACAAATATAAGAAGTGTGAATTTTATGCTCAATTTGTGCCAAAATTTGGTTCTCTTGTTTTTTTAATGATACATATCTAGTTTTTGATTATCCATAAACTCAGCTCTAAATTTCATTAATGATTTTGAAGTCAAGATGGCGTGTGATACATCAGCTGCAGAAAAAGATTTGTAGATAAATTTTGAAACACTTTAAACCCTTCCAGTTTGATTCAGTTCGTGTTCCTTCAGGAACAGATTTCTTCATGTATTCTGAAAAGTTTGGGGCAGGAATATTTGGTGAATACCAAATTAATCTTCTTCCAATAAATGAAGTGTTTAAACTGTACTTGATCTGCAAATTTGCATTTTGTTTTTCTTAAATAAAAGAGGTACCACATTTTATATCAAAACTAATATAAGAAGTATTAAGATGACAGAGCCCCTGGCTTAGACACTCAAGCTTCAATTTTTCGTAGGCCAGTGAAATGGTAGAGGTGTCCAAGGTTTTCCAAAGTGATTTTGAAGAGCAATCTCAATGGTGTGAATGGCTATTGTGTCTGAAGTGCATTGACCACTGCCCAGTAACTACCAGCAGAAAACCTTTATAAATTAGGCAATTTCTATTAACATGGAGATGGAAAGAGGGTCAACATAATCTAACAAAGGCATATTCATGTTTTGATTTGGTAAAGCATCAATCTGAAATGGCTCAGAGCCAAGGGAACTGTGAATTATCCTCAAGCAAAAGAGAAAGTACATTTTTGAAATTATAGAAGTTACTAGTGGGGTCCCTAGGAGTTTTACCTTTTGCAATGCCATAAAGTTTTTACAATAACATTATTCCTCAAGGTGTAGCATTGGAAGAAACGACTCCTGTGAACTCCAGGTCTGGTGTGATTGCAGCATCCTCAACAGGCAGATCCTGGTGCCCTCCCATGGGATGGAGCACAGAGGATCCACATGCACCTCCAACAATCTGTAATGAAATCACATAGCACCTGTAACTACCTTTAAAGATTTTTTTCCTTTTAGAAGACAGAAAAAGCACCAGATATACTTGTTACATTTCTGGTCATAAAACATTTTCAGAAAACGACTGGTAGAAGCCATGACCAGTGAGGCAGGAAGAGCTGGACCATAAGATCAATCAGCCCAAGGTATGTGCAATCGGAATTCTCTGCTGAAAGTGAATTAATGGTGGGTGCCTGGGGAGACAAGTATGGAGCTACCTGTCAATACTCCCCAGGCTCCAGCAATTTGCCATCTGCAATGCCAGAGGTGGCATCTCTGTGTTTAATAGCACTCAATGGATTTCTCCCCAGAATTTATCTTCCTGTCTTTTGACCACTGGAAATTTTTTATCGTGCTGTTACAACTGGCTGGTAGAAAATTCTTAAAAGTGAGGAGGGGTGTGTGTGTGTTGTGTGTCCTGTGTTCGTGAGAAGAACATCTGAGCTGGCTGTGGGAGCACCATTGGCAGCCTCTTTTGTTAATGCAAACTGGGAGCCAGTGTGTGGTTTTGAGCACTCATTGTGTCCTTGCAAGGAAGATATTTCTTTTGGGGCAATATGAAATAGTGAAGATGACTCCATGTGGTCACAAGGCGGGAAATATTCGCTACAGTAGATGCTGACTCACAAAGTTAGTTCAGATGGATGATTTTTCTCTCTGTCTCTGTTTATCTTTCTACAGAGTTTTCTACTCAGACTGGATGAAAACATTGCCCTGGACCACCTACAGCCAGTTTTTTCCTGTTTTTCCTGTGCTTAAATAGTGTGTTGCAGGGTCTGGATTATAAACATGGCAGGGGAATGTTTTAAATCCCCCAAATGGGGATTTGCAGCGTAAGTCTTGTGGAAACATTCCTACAGAAACTGGGTTACATTAACCTTTCCAAAGCACAAACTGGTGGTGTGGACGTTGCTCAGTCACTATCCAAGTCAACTGCTTGGTTACTGGCAAAAAACTCAGGAATATTCTGTATCCTATTCTGTCCACTCCAGAGCGACATTTACCCCTGATAGGTGTTGCTGTGGCTTGTGAATCCCTGCATTTGTTTTTGGGTGGTCTGAATTAATCTGATGCAGGATTTTAGGTGACCCAGAAGTCACAGAGGAGAACTTCAGGCAGAGGGTTAAAATTGCCATAGCAGGCTGGGCAAAGACAGGGGATCTCCATATGCAAGTTCCCCCGGAGGAGGGTGGGAGCAGAGTCTGTAAAAACACATTGTAAAGAGAGAATAAGTTAATATGTACAAGGAAAAGGGATATCTGACAAATAATTTATTAACCTCCACAGAGACCCGAGAGGCCAATGTTCCAAGCACTACAAATGGAAATGGATTTGTTGCTCCTGGGTGAAGTGCAATCCTGTTCACGAAAAGTTAGTTAATGTGGGATACAGTAGCCTTTGGATGTAACATGAGGGGTTGGGTGACAGACGATGTTCCAATTGCTGGAAGGTTTTACATCTGAGAGTAGAGCCTCTGATCTCAACCTTTGATCTCAATTGCATTTGGAGTGGGGGACAAGGTCAGCAGATGGCTTTAAAAGCTGAGCAGGTCGCTGCTGAGGGAGCCAGCAACCAGCATTCCCAAGGGAAGGGAGCCCGAGTGGTGCCCGCCTCTGCCGAAGAGGGAACAGTCCCACTGGACAGTGGTTAGTGAGTGTGTGTGTCTGGTGTGTGGTGGCTTCCTTGGGTTGAGGGAAACTTGGCATCAGGGAGTCCCTGGATCGACAGGCGAAGCTGCATTAGACTTGGGTTTGATTTGTCCTGGTGCTCTCTCACTCAACAAAAAACCACAATTGTTGTAGAAAATAATTGTATAGTCCAAGAATAGTCCCCGGTTGATCTGGCTTACAGAATGCAGACTGTGATTGCATATGTTGGTTCCAAAAGACAGCAGCTCGATAAATTAGGGAAAGAAGATGGTAATATCAGCTGGATTGAAATATAAGGGCCTTGATTGTGCAAGAGACCAGGAATTCCTTTATTTTGAAGTTGTTGTTAGTAGCCCCAGACAGTTTCCTGAAAAGGAGGGAAGAATAGTGGAGAGGGAAGATCCAGATGTGACCAGTGAATAACTAAGTCTAAATAAAGTGATGGGAATAAAGCAGGAAACCTACAGGGAACGATAAGTGGAGAAATGGGAAGTCCAGACTTGTATAATTTCACGAAAAGGAAATAGGAATAAAGTGAGAGAGTCAACAAGTAAATTTGTGCCAGATCATGGCTGTACAAAGACAACTCTCACTTTAAAATTACAAAGCAGTGGCTAAGAGGGTGGTAACAAAGGGGTAGCACCCCATGAGGGAATGGTCCTGTGCCCTCCTTAGTGCCAGTGTCCCCATAAACCATGAGAAATGAGGGGAGACTGGGACTGTATCACTGCCTGCTCATTGCTTAGGTTATTAAACTCTGTTAAAATAATCCCAAAGTTTGATTTCCCAAGTCAGCCTCTGTAAGCCTTATTTTACAGTTGGGGAAGCAAGTCAGCTGATGTGATTTTTATATTTTATTGTACACTACATTTTCATTTAACTTCAGTTTGTCTCTTTGGTTTTCTGTGTTGTGTAAGAGTTTACCTTGATATAGAAAACCTGGACAATGGGCTGATACCTTAATCTGATTTTATGGTGATATCTTCTCAATATATGTCTCATTGTACATAAAAGCAAATTAAATGAATTAATATATTCATCATGCAAGACTTTTAAAGGTGGTGTAAAATTAGTCATAATTTTACAAGAAGAATGAACGGGTAGTAATTAAAAAATAACCTTTCTTGTTAGTCCCAGAAAATATATTTAAAGTTCAGGCTCAACCTTTTTTAAAGGACTGCCAAAAAAGATCTAAATTTGAGGGGCCTGAGAATTTTGTGTATCCTAAATTTTTGGTAGATTGTGAATACCAAACACAAAGTTAAATAAGAAAACATATCCTCACTATACCCACCCCTCAATCAGTTTTATTTTTCCTAATTTCAGAACCACAAGTACAGGTCAATATTTTTGGGAGCTTGGTATTCTCCGCAATATTTGGATGGTCTAAATTGAGTAGAATAACCATAAACAAAAGAAACAGTGCAATGAAATGCAACTTGATGGGTAATAAAGTCTCTTAAACATCAACAGGCAGTCATTCCAACATTACCACTGTTGCTTTTTAACTTGGGTTTTCTTTTAAAATCCCACCCTACAGTACGGAAGTATAGCTAATGTAATTCCAAAAGACAATTATTTCTTTTAATGGAAAAGCTTAGGTGAGGGTGGATAGTAAGACTCTACATCAGAATAACTTGTTTATATATTGTGGATGCCTGTAGAGGAAAAAGAATGTTTCACGAATCTCTATCAGATCATTTTATTACCTAATATAAGAGCAAGAGAAATTTTGCAAGTACAATCTTTCTTGATCCTGAAATTACAATATAGCATCCCTCATAGTGTAAAGGGGTATTTTCATTATTATGCATTATTTTGTTGTTGTGAAAAGCTTCTTAGCTGGTCATCTCGATATAGCGATGAAATCTCAGGACAACCAACAACTTGCCATCCTGGATGTTATTAGAGTTCTTAAATACTGGATTTATTGAATATCAGCATTTTGGACTAACGTTTCCTCCAGCTGCAGCTGGGAAAGCTTGAAGCCTGTACTGTAAGGGCCCCATATTGGTGTTACCACTAAACAGCTGTAAAAGTAGATGAAAACATTAATTCAGGAGTTTATCTGCAGACACTCATCACCAGCTTAAAATACCCCCCTTTTTTTTTCCTGTATGGTTAAAGTAGTTTCCTTGTTTCCTCCTACTTACAGGTTGAATCTGAATGACATCTCTCAAAAGGCAATGGACTCTCAAATAGATGCAAATTACACTGTGCTTTTCCTAAGGTGTTTTTTCTTTTTTTTTTTTTCCCCCCTCCAAGATAACCAAAGTTTCCTCTCTCCCTAGCTAGCTGACTGCTGCTATTAAGGTTGAGCAAAATGTTCTCAGCTGATATCTGTGCCTGTTCCTTCCCATTAGCTCTGATAATGCCCTTTCCTACCAGCTTCTCTTATTTCTGAGTTTCAGTATATAAGGGCACTAATCAACCTTTTATCCAACTTACCTGCCACCTTTTGCTGTGGGACCTACTCCTCTCCGGTTTAAGACCTTGACCTTGATAGAAGGCTTGTGGATTAACTCCTGAGAGACATGTAGGTTTTTCTTCTTTCCTTTTTACCCTCATTTTACATTAATGACAAAAAAAATGGGAAGAATGCAAATGAGTGAATGCCCTCTTTGATCTGTGTTGCTCCTGAGCATAATCTGCTATCCTGGCAGGCACTAGGCATGAGTGGAATTGCTGCCCCCAAGTAGGAAGAAACTTCAACCCCTTTGCAAGCAGCTGCTCAGTTTGGTTGTTGGTTTGGGGGAAGCAAAGAGCCAGAGGAGCCTCGTGCTCCTGCAGAACAGGGGGTGCTGGACACACTGGGGCCATTCACCTGCTGCTCATGTCATGAGAACTATTCTTTTAAGCGGGGATATCTTGAAACCACAAGGATTTCCACCTACGTTTGAAAGATACACAGTGAAGCATTTGCCCTAAAAACAGTACAGCTGGAGCATCTGGTTCTCTCCAGAGGGACTGTGACAGGAGTTACCTCCAGAAGCCATTCCCAAGGTGGGACACCGAGCCACCAGCTGGATGGGGGACAGAACAGAAAGTGGAGACTTTGACTGAGATTTTGACTGAGGTCCATCCCTGAGCCTGGAGGCCATGGGAGTATTTTGAGGGTATGTATTTAAAATCCAGGTGGAAGGGCTGGACAGGGTTATTGGAGAGGGAAGGGTGATCTTGGCTGTGTTAGAATTGAACAGCAGAACCATTAATAGGTAGCAAAAAGTCCAAAGCTTGGAGAATGGGGGATCCTCTGTATCTCTAAATTATTTAATTATGCTTTAAAATGTTACCTCATTACATGATATGTATATTCTGTATAACACACGTATCCTCTGCTCTGCAGGACAGTGGAAAGTGGGTTTTGCTCTGAAATCTGCTCTGACCATGTCTCCTCCAGTCCTTTCGGACCTGGGCTATGTCCCCCCTGATGGTGGATGGGGCTGGGCAGTGGTGTTTGGAGCCTCCATCTCCATTGGGTTTGCGTTTACCTTTCCTAAAGCTTTCACAATCTACTTCAGAGAGCTCCAGGCTGCTTTCAGCATCTCCTACAGCCAGATTGCCTGGACAACATCCATCATGTGTGCTACCACCTATGGAGGAGGTAAGTGAAGCGAGACTGTATTTTCCTTTGGGAAGGAGGAGATCTGATCTCTACGCCAAAAGGGGAGAATATATTTCTTTGAGAAAGTTCTTGCTGTCTCTAAGTTTGGCCTTCTGTTTTCTGATGATGTGCATTGGTAAAACTGAGAAAGTCAGTAGTGCTGAGTATTTTATTGACAATATATATGATGTCGTCAATTATTATTTCATCAGAAATCTTGCTATATGTGGGTGGAGGCTTGGCCATGGTGGAATTATTTGACTCTTGGACTGTCTGAGTGCTGTCTTTTGTTCCCTTCCTATTCTTGTCTTTCTATTTTAAACAAAAATATGTTACTTGCACTCATGATTGCAGAGAAGTTGCTGGAAACTTGAAATCTAAGCTTTGCTGATGAACAAACATGGGATGTGTGCGTGTATATATTGATATAGTATTTAAATATGTTTTTCCCTAATTCTGCTGCTAAAATTTTGCTGCAAATAATTAAGGGATGATGTTTTAGACTTTTCTGTGCAGAATCTTTCTGAAAGAACAACTATGTCCACTGGTTACTTCAAGTAAAAATGTTCTCTGGGTTTTTTCTTGTACCTTGGCTGCAAAAGTCGCTGTTGTGGGAAAGGTATCTCTTGTCCTCATAATGAAATCATCAAGTGGATATTCTCAGAGGGATGTTTCCCTCAGACACTGGTGCCAGGTGTCAGTCTGTCACTTTGATCTGAGTAGCTGGTGTGTATCTTGGTTAGTAGAGGACCATCTTGCTTTTAGGTTACTAATGCCTGTGAGGCTCAGCTGCTGATGGTTATTTCTGGGCTGTGAGGAGATTTCTGGTGGTTCTTAGCTTGTTTAGCAAGGGTGAAAGGTAAATGGATTAACACTTAAGAACACAAGAATAGCCACACGACTTGCATCTACCCAAACATGTATTCTTCCTCAAGCAAGGTCACTGTCACACACACTGTGTGTCACACACACTTTTGGAAAGACTACTACAAAAGAAGTTGTAGGATCCTCCTGGTACTGTGCTGCCTTCAGGACAGGGTGGTTTGGAGGCTTCTTGGGTCACACATTGCAGACATTGGGTACACCCTGTGTATGGAAGTGTCATGCACTCATGTACTTTAGGAACCGGTTTTACATGGCAATAAAAAAAAGGAACTGTCTTGTCATCTGATATGGGATGGATTAAGGTGAAAGGCAATGTACGTGACCTGAGAGGTGTGAGGGATGAGCTGCTTCCCTGCTTGCAGAAAGAACCTTTTCAGGTCTGGCTGGAGTTGATGAGCTGGGCAGTGAAGCGGCTTCATTGATCTCTTTGGGCTATGGTCTGCTGCTGCAGATGGACAGAAGGGTTCACTTCCAAGGGGATTAAATCAGCAGCTCTACTGAACACTGATTCCCCCTTGAAACAATGGATGTTCATCCTCTGGCTGCTGTTTGGCTCTGGTGGTTTCATGTCAGGAGCTGAGAAGGACTGACAGAGTCAGAGTGAGAGACAGAAGAGAGACTTATTTAGAGGACTCATTTCCTCAGGGTTGCTGTTTAGGGCAGTCTGAAAGTTGGATGTCTGAAGCTGAGCACCAGACTTTGGACATGTCTCAGAGTGGTTGAGATTTCTGGCTTTTCATTCTCCACATTCCCTGAGCTGGTGCCCTTGACACCAAACAAAGATACAGGGGAGAGTACAGCAAGGGAACTGCTGTTGGTGGTTTCGATGGGGGAAGAAGCCATTACAGTATAAAACTTATGGGTTTCGGCCCTGATCTTCCCATCCTTAAATACGGACTTCTATGAAATCTTACTGCTGCAGAGCTGTCATTGTAATCTACAGCTGTGTGTGCAAGTGCCTGACTTCCCCAGATGGCACATGTAACAACAGGAGGGTGTCAGCACAAGCAGAGAATTGTGAGATGTTATGAAGCAAGGTGACGTTTCCTTTTCAGCACTGCATTTAGCTTCGCACAGACTTTGGTAGGGGGGTCCTGTCCCTTTCAGAAATACCTGTGTTCATTGCTGCCAAGAGCATCTTTCCTCTCTGGGGGGTCTGCCTGTGCTGTGGTAGCTGTTGCTCTTCACCTCCCTCAGTTTTTAAATCACTGCAGCAACTGGGTTTTAAAAAAGCCAAACAACCAATGAAAGAAATAGATCTTGGAAAAGCATAAGTCCTTGGAAGAATCCCTGTGTAATGATTATAGACTCTTCTAGAATTAAGGAATATCAATTATGTCCTCTGTTCTTGAGGATGATTCATAATTCTAAACATTTCCCTGTCATGTTCTCATCTTTCACTTGTTGCTTCCAGTAAATGGTGTTGACATCTCCATAGATCTGAAAGCAGCAGCATGCAAGTAGTAATAGAAGATGGAATGGCAATAATAACAGATTTAGGAGTTTCATCTCGGGGAATAAATATCTTTGAGTGAATAAGTAATTGAATACTCAGTTTGATCTTCCTTTCAGCTACAGCAGCATAAGTCTACAGCAACTGTGTAGCATCCAGTGGAGCTGCACGCTGTGTTTGAGGGGGGAGGAAAGCACCAGCAAAGCCTACCCAGAATGACTGAGGGAATGCAGGGGATCCCTTCAAACCCCAGCTTTCATTTTACAATATTCGGAAATGCTACAGCTGACTGTCTACAAAGTAGCTGTTTGGGACAACATATGCTTCTTTGCACTGGAGTAATTAGGAAAATAAAAAAGCTTCACCAAACATTGAATATTATTTCTGGGTAAAGCTTGGGCTGCACTGAAGTCAGCAGGCACCTTGCCATCACCTTTAGTGGAGCCAGGGTTTCATCTTTCAGCTGCATAATTGATCTGCTGAGCTACAGCACTAGAAGCCTGGCAAATTTCAGCCCCAAGCATGGCATTTGGGAAAAGGGGCTTTCCCGAAGATCTGCAGGAATGTGAAGTGATGGAGTGCCCAGTAAACAAGAAAATAGGTGCATCTTTGAAGCCTGTCTTATGAGGAGTCATTTGTGTGGTACTTTGGGGGCTCTTAGGAAGGCCAGTCTGTTAACCCAGGATTACAGCAAGCTTTGGGCAAATACCACACTTCGACCAAAAAGTCTCCTCTTTTTATCTTGTGGGGTAACATGGATGCACAATGTCAAAAGTTCAACAAGTTCCTAAAGAACTATCTCTGCAAGACCTTGAAAGTTAATACTAAAGCATCATGCTTGATCTGCTGGACAATGGTCAGCCAGGAGGGCAAAGCAGCACAGAAAATTCAGGCTCAGGAGCCTGGTTGAGTTAACCTACAGCAACATTGTGCATTGCATCACCCTGTGTTAAGGGCACAGCGATGTTATACACAGCTCTGCACCACGTGATGCAGGCACTCAACTCTTCCCGGGTTTGAGTCTGCCTCTTATTTCCATATCCCAGCATTTAACTGAATTTGAAGGCTAATGAGGAGCTTGCCAGGTTTCTTCCACCCCACTAAGAGGATCTGGTTGTGTGCAGAGCAGCTGCAGGCTTGATCCTGTCATCCTGCTCCCCACCCGCTCTCTCAGTGCCCAGGAGCCTCGCTGGTGACGAAAACTGCGTGGTGAGGAGCCAACAGAGATTGGCTTCTGCTCAGTGCATCCTTGGCCTTGAAGCACATCAAAGGTGTCCTAGATATATGCAGCAAACAGCAGTACCTGCTCCCAGAATGCTGCAGTCCTACAGGAAGACTTCCTGGGGAAACTCATGTCAAATGCAGAAACCCTTGTGGAGTTATGGTCACTTGTCACAATTTTATTTGATGGAGAAAAAAAAATCAAAACAAAGCTTCAGCTACCTCTCTGTGATATTTTTCTGTAGTTTTAGTTGGCTACCCATCCAATACCTTAAAACTTGGGTGAGGTGGGGTTAATTTTTTGAGAAAATACCTGCGTTATATTATGACTCAGAGTACTGTGATCTGCAAACAGCAGTGTCCTAGAGACTACTTGCAAACTGGTGTGACATCCCCCTGTCCGCCAGCCATTGACCTTTGTTTCAGGCACAGTCAACATGGTGCAGCTCCAGGTTTTTGCTGCTCTGGAGTGGGAATCATTCTTCATGGTGGCCCTGCATCATCTCTCCTCTCTCAAACATTGTGAAGGTTTAATGAGACCTAAAGCTCTCCACCTTGGTGAAGCATTATTCAGGCAGCCCTGAGGCAGCTGATCCTCTTCCTGCCCTGTTGAGAACTATTTGAGAGTTTACTTGGAGGTGGGCTGGAGGCAGCACTGGTCCTCTGGACCCAGATGTGGCACAGCTGCTGAGGGCCATGCCTTATGGAGGGACTGGATATGTCACAATTCATTGGATTAGTTTTGACAATCTGAGCTGCAGATTTTTGCTAATCTCCTTCCTTTTTACTGAAGTGAGTGAAGAAACTCCCACGAGAACATTTCCATCAGGAGTCACAGGCAGGCAAAGTAGGTAAGACAGGCTGGAATAAGGTGGGATATCGCACTGGTTTTACTTGGACAACACTAAAGTGCCTTTATTCACCATTTGTTTACCTTGAGCAAAAGGGTATGAACTCATTATCCTGTGGTGAAACCTCAGAGCAAGGACAACAAGGCTGGAGTCTGCAAGTGGAGAGCTACAGGGTGGGAAGGCAGAGGTTTCCCTCTGCAAATGGTGTCACCAGAGAAGGGTCCCCTTTACTCTCAGTACAAATGACAGAGTGACTCTCTCTGCTCTGGCTAATGTGTAATTACACCTTCAACACAACCTTCTGCCCCAGCTGCTTGTTTGCCTGACCTTGTGTGCACAATCTGAAATGGCACCAGGCTCTGCATTCAGCAGTGTTTGAGAAAAAACCACAGTATTTGTCCTAATTTTCAGCCATTTAGGACTTGGCATAGTCAGACTTCTGCCATAAAAGTTAATAGCTAAATTCTGGATGCATCTTTAAGTACTTTCAACCATGTTGTTTTTCCCTTTTTATGCAGTCATTTTCCAAATATAACACAGGAAGATCCTTCTGGGATTAAAATGTAAATGAGACAAAGATGCAATAGCAA